GACGTGGCGTGGCTCTCACCCCTCTCTGTTGGGTCTGCTCCATCTGAGGCTCCCATCGGCCTCGTCCTTCCTCCAGCCCTTCTTGGTTTTGTTTGTTTGCTTGCTTCCATTTTTTTTTTTTTAAGGCAGATCTCTTTAAACCTTCCCTTCCCCAAAAAACAAACCCAAAGTAGAAGTTAAATAATGGTTCTGAGCAAATATAAAACTGACTTCTGGATGCAAATACAGCTAACCAGTAAGCATATAAATGTTCTCATGTAGCAAGGTGCTAAGTGTTCTGGAGGATACAAAGAAGTAAAAGAACAAATCCAAATAAGTTATGTTTTTAAAATAAAGCCCGCAATGAGACACCACCACTTGAACAGCAATAATTGAAAAGACAATACCAAGTATTGGTAGGGCTATGGAGCAGCTAGAACCATCATGCAGTGCTGGTGGGAATGTAAAATGGTGCACCCACTTTGGAAAACAGTTTGGTGATATCTTAAATAACTAAACATAAACTTACCATATAATCTAGCAATTCCACTCCTAGGAATCTACCCAAGAGAAATGGAAATATATGTTCACTGAAAGACTTGTGTGTGACTGTTCATAGCAGCATTATTCATAATAGCCACAAACTGAAAACACTCCAATGTCCATCAAGTGATGAATGGATAAACAAAACGTGGTATATCCATACATTGGAATATTATTTAGCAATTAAAATAAATGAAATACTGACATATTCTAAAATATGGATGAACCTCAAAAACATTATGCTAAGTGAAAAATGCCAGGCACAAAAGGCTGTCTATTATAAGATTCCATTTATATGAATCTAGAAAAGGCAAATTTGTAGAGACAGAAAGCAGATCTGTGGTTGCCTGGGGCTACAGATGAGAGCAGGGAATAGCTACAGATAGGTTTGAGGCAACTTTGGGAGATAGAACTGTTCTAAAAGTGGATTGTGGTGATAACTGCACAGCTCTCTAAATTTATTAAAATCATTTAATTATACGTTTATAATGAGGAAATTTTATGGAATATAAATTTTACCTCAATAAGATGGGTAATTTTTTTTAAATAAGGCATGCAGCATAGTTAAATAATTGATAATTCTCGTCTATGCAAAAGAGATAGACGCTGTAGTCAGTATGGCCTGCAGACCCAAGGGGTCCCAGGGACAATCTCAGGGAGTCCTCGAGGTCATTTTCCTAATAATACTAAGAAACTATTTGCCTTTTTTGCCATGTTGACGTTTGCACAGATGGTGCAAAAACAACAATAGGTGAAACTGCCAGTGCTTTAGGCAGTGGCACCAGAGCTTGTCAGTAGTCATTGTGGGGCCGGCCCCATGGCTTAGCGGTTAAGTGCGCACGCTCCGCTGCTGGCGGCCAGGGTTTGGATCCCGGGCGCGCACCGACGCACCGCTTCTCCGGCCATGCTGAGGCCGCGTCCCACATACAGCAACTAGAAGGATGTGCAACTATGACATACAACTATCTACTGGGGCTTTGGAGGAAAAATAAATAAAATTATAAAAAAAAAAATAGTCATTGTGTTCCTCACCACCACGCACTCATAGTGGAAGAATACATTCCGTATTCACTTCAGAATGTCCTTGATGAAGCAGTAAAAATTATTCTAATTTTATTAAATCTTGTGCCTGGGTGCATGTGTTTTGGGGGGTTTTTTTGGTGAGGAAGATTGGCCCTGAGCTAACATTTGTGCCAGTCTTCCTCCACTTTGTACGTGGGACGCCACCACAGCATGGCTTGATGAGCAGTGTGTAACAGGTGCATGCCCGGGATCCGAACCCATAAACCCCGGCCGCCAAAGCGGAGCACTCAAACTTAACTGCTACGCCACCGGGCCAGTCCCTGGGTGCATATGTTTTTAATAGTCTATTTGATGAAATGGGAAATAGGCATAGAGTGTTTCTTCTGCGTACCCAAGTCAGAGGGTTATCTCAAGGAAAAGAACTTCAGCAGCTGACTGAGTTGCAGGCTGAACTAGCAGTTGTTTTTATGGAACACCAACTCTACTTTGGAAAAAAATGCCTGACAGACAAATTATGGAGATGCAGACGGGTATTTTGCAAACATTTTCTCAAAAATGAATGAAGAGACGCTCTCACTTCAAAGAAAACAATGGGCAGTATTTGCTGCCAGTCGTCAAATTCAAACTTTAGGCCAAAATTAGTATTTTGGAAAACGTGATACCACCATGAGCTTGACGGCTTCTGTCAAGATTTTTCTAACGAGATTGGTGGCGATTTTAACAGATGTGATTTTTTCATATTGTATAATGAAATGTGTCAAAATTTGGAGAATTTAGGTAAAGGGGTCTTGATACTAAAAAGTTTGGGCACTGCTGGCCTAGTGGCTAATAGCATGGACTCTGGGGCCATTCTGCGTGGGTTCAAATCCCAAATCCCATATTACTTACATGATCTTAGGTAAGTGCTTCACCTCTCTATGCCTCAGCTTCCTCATCTATGAAATGGGGACAATAATGGTACCTAGCTCAGAGAGCTATAGTGGGCATAAAAAGGAGTTAATATATGTAAATATTTGGCAACATTAAAATGAGTTGATAGGGCCGGCCCCGTGGCTTGGCAGTTAAGTGCGCGCGCTCTGCTACTGGCGGCCTGGGTTCGGATCCCAGGTGCGCACCGACGCACCGCTTCTCCAGCCATGCTGAGGCCGCATCCCACATACAGCAACTAGAAGGATGTGCAGCTATGACATACAACTATCTACTGGGGCTTTGGGGAAAAAAAGGAGGAGGACTGGCAATAGATGTTAGCTCAGAGCCGATCTTCCTCAGCAAGAAGAGGAGGATTAGCATGGATGTTAGCTCAGGGCTGATCTTCCTCACAAAAAAAAAAAAAAAATGAGTTAATATATGTAAATTCCTTAGAATAGTGCCTGACTTACAGTAAGTGCTCAGTGAGTTATTATTGAACTTGGTAAGTGGTAATTTGTAAAAACAAATGCATTATAAATACATACTAGAAATCTCTGTGTAATTATATATATATATATTTTTGTAACTGGGTAATCTGAAGTTGCTTTTCCTCCCTTTCCCCCTGCCTCCCCTTTGGTCCTCTCACTTCCTGGAAGTGCCCACCTGTGTGTGATGCACTGGGGGTTGACTTGTTCTCTCCTGGGCAGGAGTGCCCTGCCCATCCATTGAGTCCTTGTTGTTTGGGGGATTCACAATGTGTTTTTAAGGAAGATTTGGTGAGGCAATGTCATTATGAAAGGTACAGTTTAATAAATCGAATATAAACAGGATACAATTTATATCATTTATAGTCTTAGAATTAGAAGCAGCTTTCCTGCCTCAGCAATGTTTAAAATTATAGTGTGTCATTTAAGCTCAAAGACTTTGGGAAATTATGTGAATAGAGCAAAAGTATAAGGTTCTGTCATATCAAATATGTCCATTTTTAATGCTTAATCCAAGTGGATAGAAAGTTTAAGGGAAAAAATGACTAATTTGGGAACCTACCTCTTCAGTCTTGCAGAGAGACTCCATTTGAGCTATTTTTATCTCTGTTCAAAAGAAGTTCATCATTTGTTGACATTGATCTTTCATGCCACCCGGATTTGATGAGCACCTCCCAAAAAGTGCCAAGCGCCTAGCCAGGCACTGTGGCCCCGATGGTAGAGAGGACTTGGCCCTGCCCTCCTGGAGTGAGTGCATCAGAGTTTCCTAATTTCTCCCACCTGCTTTGTAGAAAATAAGGTAGCTCATCTGTTTCTCCCTGACTACATCAGCAGAGGGAACAGCATATATTTTATACTTTTTAAATGTTCATGAAAACATTCTTAAGTTTATCGTGAGATAAAGAAGGTTAGATAGACTGCAAAAGAATTATAATGACTGTTTCTTTTCCCAGAAGATCACAAACAAAATTACCTTATATTTTGGAGTACTCATGTTAAATAGATAAGCTCATGTTTCATGGTAAATAATAAACAACCATAGCGTATAAGTCATTGGAGTTTCACCGACTGAAACGGCTTCTGCTGTCCTAGGAAATATATGAACTCTTGAAAGAGTTCATTTGGGGACCATCTGTTTTATGTGCCATCCCATAACACTCTGCCTGTGGTGAGAATGGTGGGTCGACCCACAGGAGTGTTTATTGCTTGTCCTAGCCTGGGTCTTTAATTATTGTCATACCTCAGGTTCCTTGAGTGTATATAGTCATCTGTTAAATAGGTTTAGAATAGTCTTTCCTTTCATTTTAGGGGTATGTTTTGAGAGCAAATTATAAAGCACCTTGAATATTTTTTTAAAGATAATGTTGTAAAACTACAGAGCCATAGTATTAATGAGATAGTGTGCTTACTAATGGACTTGTATTTTAAGATTTGAGAGTGTTTCTCTCCCATGTGGCTGGTATACTGGGAATAAAAAATCAGATCAGGCCAAAAACCAAAGAAGTGCTTCTTGAATACAGACTAGTATTGAATTTTATTAATTCAATTAAATTCAATCCCAATATTTGTTGCAGATGGAAAATATTAGTTATTTTTAGTCATGTTGCTGTCCCTGTCACCCTGTCACTGCTAGGGCCTTGTGCAAACTTTATGTCTCAATAACTATAGTTGTCTTTTACACATAAAATGCACTGAAGTCAGTTAACCTGGGCAAGTAAACAATGGCTGTGATTTTGCGACACTAGAATCTTCTGTTCTTTGATTCTCTTACTATTTTCAGTAACTCCACCCAAAAATCAAATATTAGTTGCACATAGTTTTCTGAAAAGAATCATAGCTATTATAAAGCTGATTCCTCTTTTCATGACAATGGTCCCTGTTAAAGTGTTTGGTGGTTCTACCTGTACTATGTAACATTTTTGCAAGGACTTTTGTCCTTGTGAAGTAACCAACTGTGGAGGGTCCCAAACAAAGCTGACATTTCTGTGATGAAAATTCATGCTGTTGTTAAATTGCTGATTCTCATCTTGTCTTTGACATGTGTGTGTTTATGTGTTTCAGGAAAAAAGTGCCAGTTCAAATGTAAGACTTAAAACTAATAAAGAGATTCCGGGATTAGTTCATCAACCCAGAGCAAAGTAAGTTCTAGTTCCTATTTTTCTAATATTATTTTTAAAGCTAAAAATGTTTTCAGAGAGAGCTCCATTTTGCCTACCAAATAATCGAGACTTGTTATAAACCTCCAGTAACTGAGACACTGTGGTTTGGTCTAATGGAACAGAATAGAGAGACCAAAAACAGACTCATCATATAGGACAGAGCTGTCATTTCAGATCAGTTAGAATAAAATAAAGGAGAATATCTTTATGACCATGGGGTAGGGAAGAATTTTGAATAAGTTACAAAGGATGCAAATCTTAAGGAAAATGATTAATTAATATGACTGCATTAAAATTTAGAACTTCTGTTTATCAAAATATACTGTAGGAGAGTAAAAGGCCACAAAATCATGGAATGTATTTACAACACATGTATTGACAACAGATGAGTTTCAAGAATATATAAAGTAATTCTACAAATCACTAAGTAAAAGACAGAGAACTCATAGAAAGATAGGCTAAGGACATGAACAACCATTTGGCTGAAGAGGAAACATGAATAGCTAAAATATATAAAAACTACAATTTCGTTCCACAAGATTGGCAAAAACTTAGAAATCTGATAATACAAAAGGTTGACCAGGATGTGGAACAACAGGCATTCTTAACCCCTGCTGGTGGGAATATAAATTGGTACAATTACTTTGGAAAACAGTTTGCATTATCTAGTAAAATTGTACCTAGGCTCACATACCTTACCCCCACAGCAACTCCTCTCAGTTGTATACGCTAGAGAAAGTCTTGAACCGTGTGCCAGCAGACTTATTTTGAAATGTCCATAGCAACATTGTTTACGTGAGCTCTTAAAACTCTAATGTCCATCAAAAATATAATGAATAACAAAAATGTGGCATATTCTTATGATGGGAATACTATATACCAGTGAAAATGAATGACCTATAGCTACACATATCAAGATGAAGGAATCTCATGAATGTAAGGTTGCAGCAGTCAAGTAAGTAGTAGTACTGGCCTACATATAACTTCATTCATGTAAAGTTCAGAAACAGGCAGAACTAAGCAACATATTATATATATATATATGTATATGGTAAAACAATAAAGGCAAGCAAGGAAATGAAAAGGCATTAAATTTAGAACAGTGGTTCTTTCTGACTGGTTGGAAGACAGTGGGACCAGGGGTTCTATTTCTTAATCTGAGGGGTGATTACGTGGATGTCCCTTTAATTATTATTATTTAAAAATGTACAAATAACATTATATGTTTTCTTTTCGATGTGTTACGTGTTTCATAATTAAAAAGTTAAAGGACAAAAGAGTGGTTTTCTAGATTGTTCTAGAACTGAATCTACCTTGGCAATAAAATGCACTTTGTGTGACTTTGAAGCTCCTCTGCTTTCTTCAAAGAGGCTCTGTTATCCCAGAGGATACAAATCTCTTCTGTGCCGTTCCACCTAAATATGAACAGATTCCCTGAGGGTGCTGTTCACACTAGAACATTTGGCACAGTCACCCCCACCCCAAAATAAATCTGACTATTACATGAATGTAATAGTAGCCTCCTAAATCAAAATCATAAGCAGAAGAAGTTGTGTTATTTCTGGTTCTTCCCAGGAAATTGAGACAAAAATAACCTAGTTCATAATCACTTTAACCTGGCTCAGTGTCTTAGAATTGCTGCAGCCATGGCCACCATGATATGGCAGTTAGGACTCTTCAGGGGTGGTGAATGAGCTCATGGGTTTAATTTTTTATTTTCAAAGGAAACTGGACCTTTTAAAATCCACTTATCATTTACAATGTCAGTATAATGGTACAACCGATTTTTGCACCCTTAGGTAAATGTTATGCTGTAATCACAACCTCCGTAGTCCACTTCACTGGGAATCACTTTTATCTACACTCATTTTATTTGCCTTTGGGAACAACAGATATCTGATCACACAGCCAAATCATTTTTTCATCCAAGCCCTTTGATATATGCTATTTCTAAATGCTTCCCTTTCTGAATTCTAAGGAGAGAGACTATATTAAAAAAGAACTATAAAAGTTCTTTTTTCCTTTAGAGCAAATCCTTATTTAAGGTGACGCTGAAACAGCACGCCTTACAGACTGGCATGTGCTGAAGCTTTCAGAGAAGTTGACTAAATTGGTTCATGTGTTTACATTAAAATTATGAAGAAAATCCTCTGTTTTCTACACAGCAGCATGCTCGTGTGTGTGTGTGTGTGTGTGTGTATGTGTGTGTGTGTCTATGTGTCTATTTTAAACTGTGAGTCAGAACATTGAGTTCCTGGAATTCAACTAAGAAATCTTTCTGGAGGGCCAAGAGAAGAGTTGTACTTTTCCAACTTGCTGACATAGAGGATCAAGGAAACTATTATTTATTATGCAGTTACATAAAATAAGATGAGATTTTTTTCTCATAAGTGGAAGGACAATTCCATACCAGATAATAACAGATTTATTAATAATAAGGGCAGATAATCCTCACACCTTCATTTGATGCAACACGTAGAGCATATTCATACTGACTTTATGGTCTCAGGCAAGTGACCTAATGTTTCTGAGCTTCAGTTTTCTCAAAAAAAAGTGGAGGTGAAAAATCCTGTTTTATAGGGTTAAATGACATAATGTATGCCCAGTGCTTATCACTGTGTCTGATGCTTGGTAAGAACAATTAGAAACAATCCAAATGCCCTTTAACAGGAAATTGGGTAAAATGAACTACTCTATATTCACACCGTGGCATATTAGCAGTTTTAAAATGAATGCCCTGCAGCAATGCACAGCCCCGGATGACCCTAGTGATGTAGTGCTAGAAGACATGAGTAAGTCCTGAAAGATTACATAGAGCATGATGCACTCTTTGTAAAGTTAAAAACAATTAAAATGAATCACCTGCTTTTAAAGCCCGTACAGAGATGCAGTAAAGCGAGGGTATGATGGTTCCTTGAGTTGAAGAGACACACACATGGCTGGGAAGTGAGTTAGCGCTAGGTTGTCCTCAAGGTCCTAGCTTTCGGTTTTTGTTTTGGTTTCATGGGTGCTTATTATACTATTATTTTTAAAAAAACAAAATAATTAACTAAATAAAAGCAAGCCGTGCGTGAACTACTGTCACGATGGAACATGTGTCATGATGGAAGGATTAGAATTAACTCACTTCCCTGAGGTCCAGTTGAAAAATAATAATGATAATCATGAAGAAATAACTTTGTTCTGGCCAAGATTTGCCAGAACCCGCTGAGTAATTGAATTTCATTTTCGCAGGTGAAGTATTAGGGAATTAGGACCTTGCCTTCTCATACTTTTGCGGCTTAGGTTTTTATTATTTGGAAACTTTTTTTTAGTCACTAAAAATGAAAGCCATGTGTCTTTCAGCTCTAAATCCCATTCTGCCCACTTTTCATTCGTTTGATTACTTGTCATTAAGGTTTTGTAGTGTTGTCATCTCTAGTCTCATGAAGCTGAGAAGTCACAGAAAGAAGAGCCTTTGATAGCTCGGTTAACTCACAAGAGCTTTGCCAGCGCCAACTGGCGGCCATGAGAAGGGCTCCAGGGGAGCGTTGTGTTTTCCAAGGTTGAATATAGTTATTAGAAAGAAATGGGAATTACTGAAATTGTTAAGCTTTATTAGTTAAATCAAGTGCCAACATACAGGCTTTTACAAAAGATTTTTAGATCTAATTAATTTTAGCATCAAATATTCATACTTTATAAACTAAGTCATAAACAATTCAATTATCCCTTTCTTTATCTTGAGGAAAGATAGAAAAGCCAGTGTGCTTTTTCTCCTCCTCTCTCCCCCCTCACAATCATCAAATTGTGCATCAGAAATGATTTAAGAATCGAGTTGTTTCCTTGACCTAGGGACTGTTTTTCACAGTGCAGTTTGTACTCTTGAAGGTAAAAACTAGAATTAATGCCACTGTGTTGATAGTTTCCACATGAGAAGAGGGCATTCACGTTTATCTAGGCAGGAGTCAGTTGATGTGGGTAATTTATTTCATCAGAGTAGAAGTTCTGTCTCTGCCCCTGTTGAAGAGATTTCAGGGCTTCTCTCTGAAGCCAACCCATGGAGAGCAGTGGAGTAAACCTCATGCTTTCAGGTCACACTATCCCTAAGATGATGCACAGGTAACAAGGACCTCGTGTGGGCGTTTGCTCCACCTGGCAGTGTCTGCCGCACTCCAGGGACAACGGAGTTTATCTGAAAGAGCTCATTTAGGGCATCACGATTCGATAATAAATAAGTGACCCTTCCATTCAGTCTTCTTTGTGTAACACAGTCCACGTACTGTATTTCAAGATGGCAAAATAGTGAAATAGTCTGGTGAGTGACTCTTCTCGGTAGGTTTTGAAATAAGGCAGAGGCAGGCAGGGATGTTCTAATGCTCTTAGACGAAGAAGAAGCAGGCAGCATTTCTGTATCAGCGTGGGATGATGGTAGAGATGCACCGGATTGAAAGCCAGTTGTCTACATTTGGTTAGAATTGTTTCTCAAAGGGCACATGTGAAAATGAAAATGGTAGTTTACTTCCTGACCGTTGTACCCTCTACCCCAGAGTAAGATTAATATTCAGTTCAGGATTCAGATAGGGTTGAAAATACACTGTCTTGTCTGATTAATTCTAGGTTGGGTGGCTTTTGCTCAGTTTGCTTTAGTCAAGGAATACCTTTTTTTAAAAGGTTATAAAGTATGCAGTTAAACTACACAAAACTGACATCACTAAGGTTTTTTGCTTGCTTTACCATATATGCATCCTGAGGTTCTCACCATCACCTTTGGTCTCGGGGTCCTGATGTGGACCCCTGAGCCTGTGCATTCTTGATCACAGAGATGGCAAGACACATTTGTAGAGTCACTTTTACTTAAGACTTCCCCTCTTGTCCTTCTCATGTGCGTATGTGTGCATACTAACCCACGTCCCTGTTTTCGTGTTGTGGTATTTCAATAAAGGAGTTAATGGAAGCTGGGAACAATCATGGAAATGTTAGCACTGGGAGGGACCTCAGAGACCGGCCCACTGGTTTTATGGATGAGGAATCTGAGGCCTGCACTTCACTCCTGCCAACAAGCTGTGCCGCCTCTGTGAGGGGTCATGAATCCCATAAATTTAAATAGAGACTGCTTGGTCAATTAATTAAATATGTACTGCCCTCCTGTTATATGCAAGGCAATGTATGCTAAAAATGCTAACCCGAAAGTTTCCACAATGAACATCAGATCCTAAAAATGCCATTTTTATGAGGTCTCTTGGAATTTCCTAGGGAAACTATATATATTATGATATATATATCTTCATGCCTTTCCTTTCTGGGACCCAGAGAGAGCTGTCCAGCAATCTCATCTGCTGAGAGCTTGGCCAAGAACAGGAAGGACGCCCAAAAAGTGTCTGAGCAGCCATAGTGGGTGCCAGTATATTCCTGTTCCCCACTCGCAAGAAATCCTCCAGACTCTCCCTGGGAGCCTGTTTGTACTAACTTTAGACACAGCTCTAAGAAACTTGGCAGTGCTGTTTCTAAGCATAGAGTGGAAGCAGCAACTGGGAAGAAAACTGAAGGTGAACTAATACCCTCCCTGACAAGAAGAGATGAGAGAAAAAGCTTAAGAACAGGCAAAGAACAAAAGCCTGGAGTTTAAAGCCATTTTCCTTAAAGAGAGCCAGCTCTACCTTATCTTAGAGGCTCTGGGGACATCCCAGTATTACAGAAGAGTATTATGATTTAAGATCATGGGAGTGGCCATTAGTCATTTAGATAAAGTTAAGTAATGTCTGTGATTCTCTATTAAAGAGGATACGGTTTAGAAAGGTTTGCATCCAAAGTGGCTCAAATAAAAAATGTTTTGGCACTTAAAGAAGTAAAACCATAAAGAATCTGGGAAAACTCAACAATGCAAAAGGCTTTTCTGGCCAGCTGGAGAAAAAGAAGAGACTGTTTAATATATTCTTATTATCCCAGATTCTAACCTGCCATAACAGGACATGTACTTTATTTCAATGATCATATAAAGGATGGGGAAAATTACATTAGATGTGAAAGTGCCTTATAACCGCAAAAGCTGATGACTGGTATCAGATATTTTCATTGTTTTCCTTTTATATCTGAGCTGATGTCATTGTGCTCCCAGATTTTATGTCTTGGTTTTACATACAGGGGAAAACCTCTTTTGAACCCCATTATCTGTCATGAGAGGACTGAAGACTTTGGAGTCACTTGCCCCCCTCTCTGTGGCCCCTAAAGGATGAGGCATAATGCTAAGGAATATGTCAGGTAGGGGCTCACCGCACTTAAACTTGAAGGGGCCCCCAACACACCCCCACCCCCACTCCTAGCCACTACAACCAACAGACGCTAACAGTAACTAAAGGAAATGCAATGCAACGTGACTCTCACCCCAGCATCTTTAGCTTCCTTGGAACACCCACAACTATTTGCTAGTGGAAACTACTGTCATTAAGACCATATTGCCACCAAGACCCTTTCCTCCCCATGCCCTTCCCATCTGTGATTCCTCTCTGCTCTCCTTACCTTATGTTTTGTCGCCACAACCATATCCACCAAGTGTGCTGTTAAATAGCATAGGAAAAGCAAACACACGGGGCAAGTGCTATGCAGACCTGCCTCCTGAACTACTCCCACATTCGGTGGAATTTCAGTTCCAAAGAGATGCATTCAATTGCTGGCCCTGATGCAGAAGGTGTTCAAGGGCAATGTCAAGTTCTCAGCTCATTTGCTGCCAGCCCACACCTATAGAGTCAGCTGAACATCATGCTGATGCTGACAGCCTTTGTCAAATATACATTTCACTATAATAACTGGGATATATTTTCTTTTTACGGTTACACACACAGGGTTGAAATATACCATGTGCTGCTTGCCTATGCTTTTTTTTTTTAAAACACAAATGTGTATCTGAAGAAAGAATTTGGCACGCACCTCCCAGTAACATCACTATAAATAACATGTGTACATTGAAAGGAAATTATGTTCCTTAAATCATAGGAACTGATAGATTATTATGAAACATATTTGCAGGATTACTGTAATGACTTCAGAGTATTTCAGTGGAAAAGTCTGCAATAAATAAATGTCTGCCCAAAGTTTAGAGACTCAGCATTTTTCATGTGAGGGGGCTAGGTTTCGGAAAACACAGTATATACACTCACCTACTCTTTGTTTTTCAGCATGCACATCTCTGAAAGCCAACAAGAATTCTTCAGAATGCTGGATGAAAAAATTGAAAAGGTAAGAAGTAAAATAAACTATATGTTTCAAGGGAAAAAAGCTAATTGCCTCCTGAGTTAGGGTGACAATATTGTGTTTTCTGTTACAAAGCTGTTCTTGTAAGGGGATGGGTAGAGAGTTAAAACAAAAGTGCCCCCCCCAAAAAAAAATGTGGCCATGAGAATGTTTAATGTATAATAGAGCTTCCCAGAATCCTGGGCTACCGTCAATCCTTAATTAAAGTGTGTAAAGCCATAGAGACTAGAAAGAGCCTCTTCCTAGAGACGGAGCATTGAGCTATCACTGCGTATTGTCTGCACTGATGCCCTGCTCCAACCTCAGACTGCTGGCAAGGAGGCCCCTAGTACCCGCCCACACTTACCAAGTGCCGACTACCTGCCCAACACTGCTCCGAGTTCTTACGAACATTGCATACATGTTGCAATCAATACCTTCCTCAAGGAAATGGCATGAGACGGTATTGTCTGCATTTTACCGACAGAGTAACTGAGACTCAGAATGCTTGAATAACTTACCCAGATTTGCAAGGCTAGTAGTGGTCGAGCTGGAATTCCAGCCCACATCTGACTCCAATGCAGAGTCTCCAAGTTGCTTCTCTAGGAGGGTCTGGATTTTACATTGACAGAAAGATGCAAAGTTGATCTGTGTGGAAACTGGACTCATACGTATGATCTCAGAGTGCCATATGCTAATCAACTGCATGAAGTATGGAATATGGTAATAATTAGAGGCTTACATACTTGTAGAATTTAAACTCATCACTGCAGAGGGGTGGATTTTAACTACTAAAGTTATAAATCTGAGTATTATAACTTGAAAACTTTGCTCTGAAGAAGAGTACAATCCTAAATTCAGAACCTACCACAACTGTGGTTAAGGCATCGTGGACCAATTTTATCTTTGAAATTTTTTCCATTTAAATTTTTATTTCTTTTGTACTTTTTATGGCCCTTTTATCTGAGCATTTCTTCGTGAATTCCTAAGTTATGATATAGATCATTTACTGGAAGATAATGAAGGAAGTCTTAAATTCATATAGTATGTTAGCAGCAGACCCCAATCTGAGGTGGACCCCGCTAAAAGAATAATTGTATAATCTTCTAATGCACCATTAAAACACCAGCATATGTTACCAATGTGAAAAATAGAGACGGGTAATGAATTAAAATGATAGTTTAATTTATAGCATTCTTTAGCTATGCATAAATATTCATTTGAGTGTAATTCTTTTTTTATTTTTAGTGAAATTTTGGTTTATGCATGACTTTTTAGATTGAAAACTTTATCTAGGAATAATTACCATGTTTCACATATTGGTTCAAAAGCTGTTTAACTTGCCAATAACATTTTGTTTTAGTAAAGAGAAGCATAAAAAGAAATATTTTGTTCCTACTATAATGGTGAAGATCTTTTCTTTCTCAGTTTGTTTGGATTTTTTTCCCTCCACTAGCTTTTTGGCAATAAAAAGATCTGCTTAGTAGTTAGAAGTAGTCTGTAAAAATTGAAATCTGAATTGTAAGTTATCTTTTTAAACAATGTTTACAAACTCTGACAAGGCATTTAAGATAATCTGATCCCTTCCCAGTGTGTTTCCATAATTGAAATTCTACCTGTTTTTACTCAAAACTGAAATTCATTGTTCTCATCTGAAACCCGATTTCCCTTTTTCTTTTGTATCCAGGGTGTAGCCTCTGATGTGTTTACACAACAAAAGCAAAGTTTATAACTTGATCACTTATTGGGTGGAACTTTTCTTGGACAAAGGAGCATTTGTAGATTCAGGATAAACAGTGTTCCCACTACTGAATACGTTTATATTCAAAGAAAAGCTGTTACATCATCTGTGACACGCACACAGTTATAGATTTCTAGGGAAATTTTCTATCCTCTCTAAATCAAGCTTTCCTGTTTCTCCTCTCTTATCTGAAGTTCATGCTTCTGAATGTTGTGAATGTACTATCCCATGTATCATCTAAACATTAACCCTCTGAAAATTAAAATGTTTTTCCTAATATATGTATTTGGCTTAATGTAATCTTTGCCATTGGAAGTTGGATTCTTACAAATTATTTTCCTGACTTTTTACCATTGCTAAAAATTTCTTTGGTCCAAGCTAGCATCAGGACAACCATAGAAGCAACTCAAAACTATTCTTTAGGTTTTATAGGGTTGATTTTAAAAAAAAAATTAACCCCAGAGCTTCATGCTGAAAATTGAAGTCATTCTGAGAAGCCTTGAGTTTTGAGATTTAATCTCTCTCAGAAATGTCCAGGAATTCTTTTTTTTCTTCCTTAAATTGATAAGAAGCAAAATTGACCAAACTTCTAGAGATTTAAACCTTCCCTTCCTTGATTTGTCTTTTGTATTTATTGAATGTCTGTGGGGCATGGCTTGAATTTACCTTTCAGCTCTCCCTCAACACCAAAGAAATCTCTGCTCTGTCTCTCTCAGGATAGAGGTAAAAGTATCATTAGGTAAAAGAACTGGGACTATTAGGTAGTTTAATATTTATAGGGAAACTTGATTTGGAGTACTCTTATTCAGAGATTGTCCTGGTGCTGAGCTGCAGTGTACCTTTGCACGACAGCTGGACAAGTGGTTTTCTAAGAAGTTAATGGTGGCAAAGAAAATCAAGTAGCAAAAATGCATTTAAAAAATTTATTTAGCACTTATTGAGTACCAGACATCATGCCAGTTACTCGGGATACAAAAATAGATAGGAAGTATGGGATACAAAATAAATAGAAAACATTCCCTTGCCTCAAGTTGCTCAATTTTAAAAGTGAATTTCTCTAAAAATGTAATTATTTTACTAATTGAGGAGTCCTTCATCTATCACGCCCCGCCTCCCATTGTCACTGTAAGTCAGGCCCCCCTGTATTGAACACGAGTGTTTGTTGGGTCAGGTGTTGAAACTTGAGGTCTATTAACCAGGCAGTTGGGACGGCTCCTCGGACACTCAGTACCATTTCACTGTGCTGGGGTGTAGAAGGCCAGGACCCTGAGTGCATCTGGAGATGACCAGGGGAGAGGTTTTGTCAGGAGAGCAGTGGAAGTTCAAAGGAGCTTTATAACTTTTGTTGGATTTACTTTTGCTTTTCCTTTTGGAGACTAAAAATCTTGTGGGAGTGTCTCATTCATTTCTGCCTCATTATTTTTTACTCTGATATTTTACCATTATTCCACTGGAGTCTGTAGTTGTTGTTGTGCCTAACAATTCACAGGCTCTTGAACCTTATGGGAAGTGGTAGCATTTGCCTAATTTGGCAGCTTAAAGAAAATGATAGTCTACTGCAGAGCAAGATAATGATTTTAAACTCTAGTCTTTCACTGTATTTATGGAGAAAGAAGATATCTAGATTATTAAAACTTGGCCTCATGGAATAGTTTCTGAATATAGTGCCAAATACAGTTCACGTTAGATTTTAAGATATGCTTTCTACTGTACATTTGAGTTTACTTGTAAGAAGCAGAAAAAGTAAATACATTTTTTTTTTGTGTGTGTGAGGCAGATCAGCCCTGAGCTAACATCCATGCCAATCCTCCTCTTTTTGCTGAGGAAGACTGGCCCTGAGCTAACATCTATTGCCAATCCTTCTCCTTTTTTTTCCCTTTTTGTCCCCAACGCCCCAGTAGATAGTTGTATGTTATAGTTGCACATCCTGCTAGTTGCTGTATGTGGGACGCTGCCTCAGCATGGCCCAGCAAGTTGTGGGTCGGTGCGCGCCTGGGATCCGAACCCGGGCCGCCAGTAGCAGAGTGCACGCACTTAACTGCTAAGCCACGAGGCCGGCCCCCCAGTAAATACATTTTTTAAGTATCTGTAGTATTAGTATCTTCTCCAAGCAAAAATAGAGATTTATATTTTATGAGGATGTAAGAACAGCTGACGGCCAAGAAGTCTTCTGCCCTCTCAAAGACAACTCTAAATTTCAAATGAAAAACGTCTTAATTCAATGCCATTTGCATCTGGTTAGTTTTTCTCATGCAAGACTTCTTAAGCTTTGTTGGGTCATGGGCATCTTTTTGGAATCTTGTAAAAATTCTAAAGACTCTCCCTATAAAAATGCACATGATATTATATACACAAATGTCAGGGTTGTATAATTCCCTGGAGCCTGTCCCTGGGCCCCAGGCAGAGAATCTGTGGATTTCTTTATGATGCATTTCATTGATGTGCTTCCCTGGGATCCAGGGCCCAGCTGCACCCGTGAGCACCCAGGAGTCTCACCAGCAACCTCATCCTTACACATCTCTGGCTCTAAAGAGGATTAGGAAACAGTGCCCATGACCCCACCCAAACCCATTCTCCTTCCTTTCTTACTTCTCCTCCTTAAAAATAGCTCATAGTACTTCACCCCCTGAGGGTGAGCCATCAGCCTGCCTACTGGATCTCACATGGTCCTGTATGATTTTTGAGACTCCGCATCTGTTGACTGGAATTATTCAATGTGAAATTTTTGAGGAAATGTCTGAGAAAGAGCAGTATGTGGATTTAAAATCAGCTGATTTTAAAAGATATTTGTTTATCTGTAGTCCTCTACATCTGTTGAAAAATCATTTACACTTAGAGGATGTTTGGGTGCTAATCTAGTTGGTGAGGAAGATTATGGAAAATCTACTTCTGTAAATTTATTTCAAGGGCTTCTTCTCTTAATATCATGTCTAATCAGTCTGACTCACATTATGAATCAGTGTGTCAGGGATCAGAAGGTGTTTGCCCTTCATCTAGTGAAGAGAGTGACTTTCAGGCAATTATGAACTGTGACATTTGGTTCTCTTCCTGTAAACTCTTCGTGTAGTAGACTGTTTAACCTCAGAGCTGCCATGGAACCAAATACCCAACATAATGCTTGGCAGATGCAACTGATGATGGGTTTTAATTTCTGGTGGTATGTTTAAAGGTCTCCTCAGTGCCCACTAGTGATGAGAAAACCTAGAACTGTTGTATCAAATCCTAAAGAATGTTAGACTGCCTGCCCCGTGGATGCAGAGGAAGT